CGACCCAACCAAGAAAACATATGAAGTCCCTAAAATCACATGAAGAAACAAAGTATATCAGATCAACTATCAGATCAACTTCCCTAAAATTACATATTTTGACATGTAGATAATTAAACCAACAATTCTCAATTTCGTACAACAATTGACCAAAATCGAAAGTTTAATTTGAAAATATACCTGACACCGTCAAGTATGTGATATGGATGTTCAATTGGAAGTTTCGGGCTCGCGAATCGAGATTGTTATAGAAATCTCATGGAATATTGGAAAACCGAGCTCGACATGGTGAAAAATCGGTCGCGAAATATACCCAGCTGCGGGATTGAGAAGATTTAGGTGAGGGTATGAAGGAGCTGGGGGATTTTTAGGGGAGCTTGTGCGGGTATGAAGGAGCTGCGAGATTTGGGGAGTTTATCTGCGGTATGTAGGTCTTCAATGAGACATTAAATTGCGGTAATTACGTTATTACCCTCCAATTGATGGGGTAATTGAATCCCAGCGGATATCTTATGTCCGTCTGATTTCATTGATCTAGTGTACCAAATTTATTCCTATTTCTCGCATTAAGGGTCATTCTCACCGGAGCGTGACCCTATATATATGTAGTTCGGAAGTTTCACTTGTAACAAAATAATATTTTTTTATATAGTTCGGTAGTTTCAGTTATTTTAAACAACAAAGAAACTAAAGTTTTAGAAGTAAAAATAAATCATCTACCCAAAATATAAAATTCGAACCCAAGAGTGTGTATGACTGTTTCGGCTGATATAGTGCAATCTGATGATTGCTAATATGCAATACTTCAAACATTAATGTGCACTCGAATTGCAACTATTTTTTTTATAAAAAAATATATTTATTATTGTAATATTTTTATTTAATATTTATATTATTTTTAGTTGAAAGTATAGTATATGTGTTATATGTTATAACATGCAAATTTAATATGTTAATTTAATATTTTATGATAGTTTAAAATACATAATTATTTTTTATTATTCTTATAAATTACAAATTTGACCTGTGAACTCAATTGTAATATAATTAACATTTATAACATTGCAATTAGGTCCCTCAAACCTATCTGATTCTCAAAAAAAATTCAACCCAACCCGCCGACAAGTGTTTAGAAATCAACCACCAATCACCAAAACAAAGAATGGAAGAAAGGTCCAAAGGAATTGTTTGTCTTGAATTGCAGCAATCAAACCAAAAATTGATCAAAGCCTTATTATTAAGTCACCAGTGATTCATACACTAATTAAGAGAGGCCGATTTTGCTTTCAATTTTGACGGGGAGGAGGTTCCGCAAAGCCGATCGCGGCGGTAGATCTAGAGCTTCGAGGCGACGCCGGTGAAGACGATGTAGTCGATGAAGGTCAATTTCGAGGTCGTCGGAAGACAGTGAACTCGGTGGGCGGCGCCGCGGGAGAAGGAACTCCGGCGAGGAATCGGTTGGAGAAGGGACGGCAATTTCGAGCGACAGAGTGGTGGGCTGTGGACAGGGGCGGATGCAGAAATTTGGAATGGGAGGGGCAAATTTAACTTTCACGAATATCTTATCATTTTATAACATTAACTAGTATGCAACCTGTGCGATGCACGGGCTGTATTTATTTTGGAGAATATTAAAAATTGAAATGTATCAATAAATAATAGAGTGATGATTCGTAAGGAAATTGTCAAATAATAAAATGTTCCTCATGAAAAAAATATATTATTAAAAACTTTCTTGTACACAACTTTATTTGTTTAATAACTGAGCAACTTGCAAAACTAATATTTTCAACACTTTTCTAGTACTTTCACACGAAACAAACAACATAATTGTCCATGCTAAAAGTAGATTTCTTTAAAAACAGGCCAACGTATAGTAAAGGCTGACCTTGACTTTTCTTTATCTATCACTTACACGCGTAAACAAAACATATAATTGGCCGTCATTAAAAGCTGATTTTTCTAAGAACATGCCGATGCACAGCTCCTATCTATTACTTACACGTAAAATGGTCGTGGCTAAGAACCGATTTCTTTAATAATATGCCAAAGCACATAAAGATTTTGCATAACAAATTTACATTTTGTTTATACGAAAAAAAAAAAAATCAATTTACTATACAAAATTTTGAAAGCAAATAAATGATAAACATTATCTTTTGAAAAATCGATTTACTATACAAAATTTTGAAAGCAAATAAATGATAAACATTATATTTTAAAATAAATAATGACAATGATTGTAATAATGTATTATCAAAACCGACAAGATATATAAATTATATTCGTTTTCCTTTTCAAACCGATAATGTAGAAAGCAATTCAATTGGTGGATAGATGATATATACAAACCATGATTTTAGAACTCTTTTCAAAATTTTCTTTGCATGAATTGGACGCGTAAATCATTCAGCATATTATTATATTATTAAATTATTGGAAACGTGTATACAACCGATATCTGATTCTGCTTGGCAGGTAAATCACGTCCCAATTTTTTGAAAATATTGTTCCCACACGCATGGAAATCGGATCCAATTACTTTGAAAATTTAATCTTCACAAAATATCGCATGCACAAATTAATATACCCGATTTTATTGGTTAATAAATTGGTTAAGCAGGACATGCAAAAAATTTCAAAAAAAATTGCTGAAAAATGTTCAAAACGAAAAACAGAAGCGGGAAATAATGACTAAAGAAGCGAGAAATGAATTAATTTTTTCAAAATTTTTTAAATATTTTTTCTTCTCCGTATTATATAGTAATAGATTATATCATTATGTATCCTTCCACATCTTTACTTAAATTATAAGTTATTAAACTATCATTCAACTATCAACATTAAATATGATAAAAGTTGTGTTAATAATAAAATCAATCGCATGTACTTTAGAGCTAATTTACAAATTATAATTACAGTTAAAAAATAAAAACATCTGAAATTTAAAAAAAAAAAATGTATAAGTCATTCGGAGTTAAATTTGATATTACAATTTAAAAAATATTCTTGACCGTAATCAAGATTCCTTTTTTTATTGATTTTTTGTTGTTGGTAGTAGAACTTTCAAAACTACAATTGAAAACTTGATTTTTTGTTGTTGGTAGTAGAACTTTCAAAACTACAATTGAAAACTTTACTTATTGGACGAATATCCAAATTTAGCAGCGGTCCAAAAAAAATTTTAACCTACACCTTCACCACTAAACTCGCATTAGCCTAATTAATCCCACTCTAGAGATGGACCTAAAAATTGCACACCACATCAAAACAGTTGGGAATTCCAAGATTTGTTAGGAGAAAAAGAAAATAGTAATAATAATAAAATGAGAAAGCGTGAGCAGTGTTGTAGCAAATTATATTTTTACCGAGTACCGAATCTAAAGATTCGATCCCCGGGTCGATCTCACGAGGAAGACGGTTCGGAATTTAGAAATGGTGTTGACAACACACAAAAAGAATATAAAAACCTAAACACTCTAATCAGAAATGAGGAATATATTATAAACTAAGAAATCAACAACAAACAAAAACGAACCTAAAATAAGAACTAGAAAGCGATAAAGAAGCTAGGGAATCGAGGATAATTAATTCAAGTTCTTTTCGTAAAGTTGGGCGATTACTTGTTCAATTTAAGATTGACACTCTCGCTCAAATATCTAGCAGTTTGCTCCCAATGACTTTTCGAAACAAAGGATTAAACATAAATGGGTGAGTTCGAGCATACAACACTGGTCTAGAGGCCCGATTCCAAGAACTCACGTAACAAGGAATGGGACATAGGCAAGCGCGTATTTCAATCCAAACCTATAGACTATTCAGTTACGAAATCGTCTATCTCGTGTGAACCTAGTTCTACAACTTCTCTCCTTTCGATTTTAAAAGTTGCTAATTAGACTAGAAGAGGATTAATCAACTAATCATTTAGAATCAACAAACCCTAACTCAACAGTCAATATCCAATTATCACTAATTGCAAGATTGAAGTGTCACTCTTCAATTATATCAATCAATCAAGCAAGGTTCATCAATCCCTAATTCAAATAATTCGCACAAGAACGAACAATTCAAAGCCCAACAATCATGAATTAAACAAGAACGATCAATCCCCTATCCCTAGCAATTGGATTTAGCCAATCATAATAATTTCAACACAATCAAACAATTTTCTCAAATCAACCATTCTTCATGAATTGAATAAGAGAGAAAAGCTTACAATGAATCCCAATTCAAGTGTTGATTATGCAGCACAAGCTTAATCCAATGATAAATAAAAATAAAAGAGAGAAAAGGAGAAGAAAATGTCAAAAAAAACGAAGAAGAAAGGGAGAGGAAAAAGTTTTCGGGAGTTTTTCGTCGTTTTCTCCCGACCTAGGGTTTGCACCCGGTCAAAACATGTCTCAGGAGGAGTTTCGATCACATATATATAGGAAAAGATCATTCCGCGCTGTGATAGGGCCTCCACGCCGTGAAAAATGGTTCTCTCGCGCCGTGAGGCGCGCTCCTGCCGCGCCGTGGGCACTGGCGTGCCGTGAGGGCTGCTGGGTCGAGCACTCTGTGCGCCCGTGGCGCGCGGCTGCTTTGGCTGCATTGCGCGTCTTCACAATTTTGGCTCGTTCGGGTTTGTTTGAACTCAAAATTGAGTTCTGTTTTTTCTTACGCGTAGCTAACGAACCCCTCTATCTAACTATGTAATCCCAACACATATTTTCCTAAAAACTTGTCCTCCCAAAGCTTATGACCTGAACACCAAAAATGAAAGAAAAACGAAGAAAACCGAAAAAACACACGAAAAACACAGAAATACTCACAAAGACGCGAAACATGAAATAAACGACAAAACGACTCTAAAACCACATAAATGACTCAAAATGGGGGAAAAAGAACGAGAAAATAGACATGAAAAACGTAACAAAAATGGGACAAACAAGCAGTCAACAGGAAAAAACAGCAACTATAATAATATTAATAACAGCCCTAATAATAATTAGCATTTTTTTTTAATATCTATAGGGGCACTGTCTCTGCAGGCCCCTATGTGGGTCCGCCCTTGGCTGTGGAGGTCTACTCCCAGCAGTTGCGGAGGCGCGGTATTCCCGTAGATCACGGTGGCGAATGAGACACTTGAAGTGTGAACTGACGGGGAAGGTGTGTGTTTGTGTGTGTCTGTGTGTGTGTGTGTGTGTGTGAGAGAGAGAGAGAGAGAGAGAGAGAAAAGTCACGTGTGGTGTGATCTGATGGGTGGACTTTTATTGTTAGGTGTAATTTTAAAATGTCCAATTTGTCCTTAATAAATATAAATATTTGACTTTTATTTAATCATTCGACTATCAGAGGATGCGATGCATTCTTATTTCTTTCATTGAGCACCATTCTCATGGAGCGCGACCCAATATATATATATATATATAAAAAAGGGATCATATGAGAATGAAATAAATAAGAATGAGAATGGATCATCGGATCCAACATATCAATGGTCTTGATCAAGTCAAATATTAAATATAGCAGTCAAACATGTGTGGCAGTCTTGTAAATAAGTGTACAATCTTTGGTCAAATGTTTACATTTGACCACTAAATAAAGACAAATTTGTCATTAAACATTCACACAGTCATCCACACCACACCACGTGGGGCCCACCCCTTCATTAATAACCTCTCACTTTCTCTCACATACTAACACACACTTACATAATCTTTACCCCCATCGCAGCACACACATAGAAACCTCTGCACCCACACACACACACAAACACACACACACTTCGACCAAAGACAGCAGTTGACGGAGGCGAGGCGACACGGCGGCTGACGGAGGTGGCGACACGGGAGCGGACGAAATCGAAGCAATGTGGCGGTGGACGACGGAGGACGACGGCATTGCGACGCTGTGATGAACGGAGATGAAGATATGTGCTCATGGACGGAGACGAAGCGTCGAGCCGACTGACAGAGTCGAGGCGGCGAGCCGGCGGACAAAGGCTATGCAAGCCGGCGGCGGAGGAAGACGAGAAGTCACGGCTGCCGACGGTGACGATGCTATGAAGCGGCGGACTGCGGCACAACGCGACGGAGACAGCGGTCCGACAGCGGCTGCGCGTTGTGTGTGAATCGACGCTGGCGGTGTGCTGAAGGAGATGGATGGCTGGGAATAAAAAAATTGTTCATGATTTGAGGATTTATTTCATTCACACATGATGTGTGGGGGTTTTTTATAGGTAAATTAGATAAACTATAGGGGATAATTTGCAATTTTAAAAATGTAAATAAATAGTGAGTTGCAGTCGAGTCAAAATGCTTTGCCCCTTCGAAGTGACCTATTCTGACTTCACTACACGAAGGAAATTCTAGCTTGTGAGTTGGGTGTTTGTTTAAGTAATTGGTGAGAATATAATTGATGTTTAATTATATAGTTTACTAAAAATATTTAATAAAAATATATTAAACATAGAATGTTGATAAATAAATTTAACAATATATGTATGGTTATTCAATTTAAATTTTCATAAATATTATTATTAGCATTTTATATTTTTCAATTAATATTTTTTATATTATTGTTTGATTAAAAAGATTAGTATATACGGATATAAAATATAATATACAATCTGACAGTTATTAAAGTGCAATCCGTCCAACACTATAGTGCACGGTGTTGGTCTGTATTGTGCATATCGAACCAACCGAACGATTATCCCAAGGCAAATTGAAAATGAACATAATTAATTAATATATTCCGTTCAGGTAACCGAATTATCTCAAATAATCGAAATAATTTTTTATTTATATCAAGATTATATTTTATATGTTAATAATCTTATTTATTATTTTTTTATTATTTCAAGCCAAAAAATTTCGAGTTCGGTCGGTTCCGATTTATATTGTGCAATCTGATAGCTGTTAAAGGGCAACGTGTTGTTCTGTAAAGTGCAACTCGATTTTTTATAAAGTGCAACATAATGATAAAGTGCAACGTATTATTTTTTAATGTGCACTGTTTTGTTTTATAAAGTGCAGTCTGATGATATATAAAGTGCACTAATTTATATAAACACGTATAAATTATGTGTTTTTGAAAAACCTAGAATTATTAGACATAATTGAACATTGAATTAACCTAAATAAATCAAATAAATTATTATTTATTAATTTAATATTTTTATATATTAAAAATATTTATTTATAAAATTATTAATTTAATATTTTTATATATTAAAATTTTTAATCATTATTCACTTTATTTATCGTTAATATGAATTTACGAAACTTTCTACAAATTACATATTCGGCACATGTATCAAATTGAAATATAATAAAAATTCATTATATTGCATTCAAGTCCTTACAATTTATCTAATTCTAAAAAAAAGGACCCCAACCCCAAAATGTGTCATCTTCTACCTTACCACCCTCTGCTCCGGCAGCCACTCCGGCCGAAGACATCTGGAGTTGATGCATACCCCGGTCGGCGACGTCCGACGACTTTCAGTTTTTTTTTTTTAAATGCCCCATTGAAGCTCGACTGTGCAGCGGTGAGACATGATTCAGGCGAGAGCCGTAGCGGCGGTGGACGGCGTGAGCGACTGAGGACGACGAGGGCGATTGGGGACAGCGCGGTCGACGGGGATGACGCCGACGACCGGTGACGGCGCAGTCGACGGGTGACGGAGAGCAACCTATCGTCGCCGCAGAGAGATTCTGGCGGCGGAAGACGATGCTCCGGTGGCGGTGGGTGAGTGAGACTCTTGTGGTGGCTGTCGAGCAATTCCACCGGCGGCCACCAGATTCACCATCACCGCCGTCGCTCCGCCACCATTTTCCTCCCGTTCCCTCTCTCGCCGGAGTCCCCTCCATCGCCGCTCCCACTGCCGCCAGCTATCCCTTTTCGTCACCTGCTCCTCCAACCTCCTGACGGAGTTCTGCTGCCGCCACCACGGTGAATCCGCCACCAGAAACCACGCCTTTGGCCTCGGTGCTCACAGGCTTCCACCGCCTTCAACGGCCGCCTCATGCCAGAGCTCTTCTTCGTCCCGCCGGCCACTTTCTTTGACCAGCAGCAGACCGGCCGATGAGGACTCGCTGTCTACAGTGCCATGGTCGGCGTGATAACTCTCCTTACGGACGTCTCTGACGAGGACCCGCCGGAGCTGAACACTCCTCCCTGGCCGAGAATGGCATAAAATTCAAATTGGGATTGTGGGGTTATTTTTTTTGAAAATTTGATAATTTCAAGGGACCAAATTGCAATTTTATATATTTTAATGTATTAGAATTTAGTCAATGGGGTCAATTTATAATTTGTAAAAAAATTAGTAACTGCACCATATTTGTACATAAAAAATGCACACCACACAATGTTGTTAAACAAATGACACTTTATTTAAAAAATATTAGGACGATAACTGTTATAATAATAAATTATAACTATTTCAATCATTAAGGTCAACTTGATGTACAATTATATCTACTAAATATAGTTTTCAGAAACACATATTACATATAAACTAGTGCACTTTATATATCAACACCATGCACTTTATAAAACAACACGTTACACTTTATCACTATACTCCATAATTAACGTAAATAGCTTACTGCCAAAAATACAATGCAACATAAATATAAAAAACGGATATACATAATACTTTAACAACAATCACATCATTTATCCACACTAAACATAAGCATGATAACGTGCCAAACTTACAGTAGTTCACTTTATACATCAACATGATACACTTTATAGAACAATACATTGCACTTTAAAAGACATCACGCTACACTTTATCACGACTATTAGATTGCAGAATAAAGATCGAAATCAACCGAACTCAAGATTTTTCAACCAAAAATAATACCAAAATAATAAATAAAATTATTAACAAATTAAATATAATTTCAATATAAATAACATATTTATTTCAATTATTTATGGTAATTCGGTTAACCGAACTGAATAAACCAATTAACTACGATTATTTTCAATTTTAATTCGGGACAAAAGTTCGGTTGGCTCAATCTGCACGATACAGACCGACGACGTGCACCATATTGATGGACGAATTGCAGTTTAATAACTGTTAGATTGCACAGTATATTCCATTTACATATATACAATGTTTTTTAATTAAAAAACTAATATAGAATATCAAATAAAAAAATTAACTACTAATCATGTTTTCTATGATAATTAAACAATTTATGTCGGTAATTTTGGTTATCTATATTAACCGACAAATTAATCGATTATGTTGAAATTTCAACATCAACTGGTTAACAACATTGTGCATTTTTGTAGCGCGTTGACATCTTGATTTTTCTTTTTTAATTTATAATGTGCATATATACTCACGATATTGTGAAAAATAGTTATCTGTGTTTTATTTTAAACTTCAGTTGCGTGGGTTCGATGTCAAATTTATTTTAGTTTGTTTGTTTTCTAAAAATCAACTCAATTATTTTTAACTTTGTTATTTTAGTCAGACAACTCGACCAAACCACCAATGAACGACTCTAAGCGCGGTTACATTTTGATAATTTGCGAACTTTAATGTGTTTTAAATGTGTAGATGAAACAATTATGCAATTACATAATAATATAAAAAAATTTAATATGCATATTCTAATTCAATATTGTGCATTTTTCGTAATGGTGTTGTGCATATATTCATTATGTTTACCAATTACATGTGCACCAACATATCAATTTTCTAAAATTGCAAATAGATTATCAAATTCCGAAAATAGAACCACAAATCAAAAAATCCAGATCTAAAAAATTGAAAGTTCACTCCTGCACATCCCAGCGTCTCTTCCGGATAGCACCGCCGCCGTCTTCTTCTCTCTTGCCGGTCTCCCTTGCCGACATGGAGGCTCTCTCCCTAAAGGTCTGCTTGTCGAATGGAGTTCGGGTGGTGATGTTGCGGCCCCAAATCTGCGGCGGTTCTCTGAGATGCGAGAGCTGCGACGATGGTGGCAGGGCTTTTGGGAGCGGTGGTGGCGGAGTTGTTGACGGGCGGCCAGCTTGTAGGTGACGATGGTGGCGGTCTGGCGAATTTGTGGTTCATGTCGACGGCGACATGTGACCGGCGACGCTTGAGGTGGCGGTGCTTTGATGGATAGGCAGCGGAGCTTGGACGGCTAGGCAACGTTCCTTTGGAAGGCCAGTCCAGCGGAGCTTTGATGTCCGGCGGCGGCGATTTGATGGCCGGGCGGCGTCATTGTTGTGGTCGGGTGGTGGCGCTTAAAAGGCCGGTCGGCGTGACTGTGAAGGTCGGCGGCGAGAGCCTGCTAGAGTGTGTGTGTGTGTGCGTGTTATGTGTATGTGCAGGTTTGACCGTGCGAGTTGTGTGTGTTAACGTGTGAGGAAGAGAGATAAGGTAATGGAGATGTGTAATTGTCACATTTGTCCTTGTTTAGTGGTCAAGACTTAGATTTGACTATGCTAACTATAATTATTTACGAAATTGTCATTAATGATTGACTGTCACGTAATAAGAATTGACTTGATCATGATCGTCGATATGTGGAGATCAATGATACAGGTTTATTCTCATTTCTTTCATTATCTATCATTCTCATATAATGCCTTTTCTCTCTCTCTCTCTCTCTCTCTATATATATATATATATGGCACGTACACACGTCTAATGATTAGACCAGCTCCTAAAAATTTTTTGTACTCCCTCCATTTTTTAATAAGTGTAATTTTGGGAAGTTGTGCAGTAATTAAGAAATGTTTTTTTGCCAATAATAACCCTTATTAATGAGGATAGAGATAAATGTTTTAAGAAAAGATGAAGAGTGAATATGAAAAGATTTAGTGTATTTATTAGCTAGATGAGGGTAACAATGAAAAAATATATACAAAAGATCCAAAACGTCATTTATTTGGTTAATTGTTGATAAAGCCAAAATGACATTTAAAAAAAAAATTTGTGGCAGTATAAAGCAATAACCAAGAGAACATAGCTCGTTTTTTTGGGGAAAAGAAACGTTCCAAGGACATGATCAAATATTTAAGAGCATCTCCAATGACATATTCATTTTGTGTTGCATGTCATTGTGGAAGGAGATCAAAAAATTATATCACCAATAATTAATATTAAAGATGGTTTATTTTAACGTGTGTTAAAATTATAATTGGTTGGAAAAGAAAAAAATTGAATAAATAATATAATATATAATAGAAATTGTTTAGGAATATTTTACATTTAGAAAGACTTCTAGATTTTTTTAATGCCACATATTATTTTGTCATGTGGCTACAAAATTGAGCAATCCAAAGACCATTAGAGATGTTCTACAATCATCCTCCAGCAAGGCTTCTCCCCACGCAAGAGAAATCAACCGAAAAAAAACAAC